TCATTTTTTTAAAACTTATTTTCGATAGTACATTTTTCCTATAAAATAATTTTGTATAAACCCAACTTTTTTTTTTTCTACTTTTTAACAATTCATTCTCCAAAAAAATTATTCATCAAAAAAAGAAGGGAATTAAACATGGTTTCAATGCAAGATTTTTAAATCATAAATTTCTGTGGACATCATCACGAAAGCTTGCTGAAGACTAATCATTTTTGACTTTTCAATCCCAATATGATATTTTCTCGTTCGAGACATGACATCAAACTCGATCTAAAGCAATTAATTTCAAGAAATTACACAAGAATCAGCAAAAAAATAAAGAGAGAGAAAAAGAAAGGTCGAGATAGACAAGAAAGGTGGCATATCTTACAAAGAATCCTACCGAAACGTCGGCGTTTTATTAATTAAGACTGTGTAATATAATATACACAGAGTTCATGATTGTATATCATATTATTAAGGGACAGAGTTGACCATCGAATATTTGGCATGTTTTGAATGCAAGATTGGTATAATTGAACATGAATTGTTGGATTTTATTTTCATGTCTTTTCTCCTTAATATTATTTAATTTTATGGACTTTATTATATGAAACATGTCTAACTAAATATAGCTTATTATGTAACATATCTTTGTAAACTAATAGTAGATAGGATATTTGAGATTGACGAAATTTCTTGAGGGAGAAAATAAAAAAATTACAAATAATTCTACGATATCTTTCTGTGTCTAAGACGTATCTTCGATGACAGATCCTTCTTTCAAGGTCGTTTGAGGATGATGAAAGGTGGGGATTTGTTCTCTTTTCTTGTTTTTGTTTTCGTTGATTTTTTCAAAGATTCTTGCTTTATGCAGCCGTCTGCTATCTCTTTTCTCATTAAATTTTGATAAATTCAACGGTTGAATCAAATTGGATGAGTATTAATTAATTAATTAATTTGCACATGAGAAAGACAGCCCAACGAACATAATTATTTCGACTCTCTAAAGTTCAATAATCCATTTTATTAGAGAAATTATAATAATTCAGG